ATTCCTTCTCCTTCTTGGACTTGGAAATCTTCTTTGTAGCTGCAACTTGATGCCATTTGGATTTAACTTTCCTACTTCAAGTAGGAAACCTTGTTTGAGTAGGAATCTTCATCTTCAAGGAATCCTAATTCAACTAGGAAACCCATTTTGACTAGGAATCCTAATTCAACTAGGATTCCATCTTCACTTAGGCACTTTCCTACTTCGACTAGGGAACCTTGTTCAAGTAGGAAACATCATCTTCAAATCTTCAATTTCGTCCATCCTCTTGGCTCCAAGCATATGACATCCATTCCAAGCTCAACTTTGCTCCAAAAGGCTCCAAAATGCATCCTTTTGCATACTTTGCCCTTAGAACCTGAAAACACATAAAACTAGCTTAAAAGACTACTTTACTAAGCAAAAACACTATAAATGTACAAGAACAAGCTAAACTAAGGCGCATAAATATGCTCCTATCAATTATCCCTACCTAGCCTAGAATAGGAATATCCATACCCTTGTTCTTAAAGTGTAGTGGAGCATAACTTAGAAGGAATTCCTTTTGATGAACATTATGCAGAAAAACAAGTGTGGGGGAAGGATATGTACACAGGTTTGAAAGAAAAAGAAAAAAAACGTGGAAAAAGAAAAAGAAAAGAAAAAGTGTATAGAAAAGAAAGAAAAAGAGTTGAAAATAAGTGAGAATGAACTCACAAGTGTTGATTGTTGAAGAAAGGGTCCAAAAGATTGAATCTGACCCTAAGTGTTTTGTGAATCTTCCCTTTGTGTTTAAAGTGGATTTTTGCATTCAAAAGTGAATTCTAAGTGTTAATTTCATTACTTTGCTTACTATTGCTTTAAGAACTTTTGTTTATCATTTCCCTTTCTTTGTTAGCCAATACCCTAGCCCCGTTACAACCCTTAGACTTCTATCTTGGGTGTTATGTGTTTCAATCTATGGAGTTTGGAATTGGTATAAGCATATGGAATCCCTGGTTCTCGCTTCTAAGTAGTAACATTCCGTTCATGAGATCATATTTATATACATGCATTAATAATTCCAGAAATTGCCTTCTTTGATTAAAAGCATATGTGAGTACTAGTCTACATGTTTACATCAATCTTCTCACATATACCTAGTATAGAGAGTGTAGTCAGAAAATCTGTGTGAAAATAGAGTGTATATCCGGTGAGGAATTGAGGGAATTCTCTAAGGCACGTTACTACATTCAAAATGTTGTTTTAATTGATTAAATGCAAGCTAGTGAATGGTGACTATGATTAAGTGTGCTCAAGGGTAAGGATGACTAAAATCTGTGGGAGTAGTGATCTTTGGCATGTCATGTTTCATTGGAAATCCCTAAGGCAAATGTTGGAAGGTCTAGGTTATGTTTTGTTTGTTTTGTTTTGCTCAAGGACTAGCAAAAGCTAAGTGTGAGGGAATAATTCTGAGATGTGATTTGATATTTGTTCTAGGGGATGATCGTTCGTGATGCCTCGATATTCGTGTTAGGGAGTTGTAGTGCGGACTTTAGGTGCATGGGTCTTTTCCTTTTTATAGTGTATATATATATATATATATGATTGATAGTGCGTTTGAAAAAGAATTTCTTACGTACGCCTGGATTACACTAAAATTTATAAGCATTAGCAAAATGATGGAATTTATGAAATTATTCCAGATCCTGTTGGATGCCTTAATCCAAGTGTTACGCCTTTGATGAATGTTATATTGACTAGAAATTATGGAATATGCTACATCCTACGGGATGCACAGGTATGATTATAATCTTTGATGCCATAATTATTTCTAGAACTATGAATGTTAGTATGTTGATTAGAACTATTGAATCAATGTAGCATGATTGTATTTATGTAGTCTGCTCATCATTGTTGCACCCCGGTGTTAGTGCTCACCTAGGGCCAGGGCCATTCTTTCATGTGTATGTTCACATCCGCACTGCACGCTTGCCTTGGATCCATCTAGGTGCCAGTCATGTCATACAAGTTGCAATAAGCAACTCCGACATCTTGTTGTACAGGTTGCAATAAGCAACTCCAACTCATATGTGACAGGAATAGTGGCAGTCTTTACATGATTGTAGCACTAGAGCGTATATTATGATTACACCCAGTCTTGTCGTACAAGTTGCATTAGGCAACTTTGACTTGTGTGCTAGCATAGATTGATGAGCATCAGTCCAATCGTATAAGTTGCATTATACGTAGTATGATTTTCTGGAAACTATACATGTTTTACGGAGAGGGGTTATAACGTTTTGAAAGGTTTTTATTAAAACTTCATTTTCAGACCCACTCACCCTTGTTTTTCGCCTCTCCAGGTTTTAACTGCTGAACTTTTGTATCAACGAGGATTCTTCGCAAATCTCAGTATAGGTGGCTACCTTTGATGGTATAGTCCTTATCCTATCTTACTGTACTTTACTTATGCTCTAACATCACGTGTGAAATGGGTTAATTCCCGCTCACCATGCACTCTTGTATTTAGGCACTTTTAGGTTTAAATTTATTCACATTTTCCACATCACTACACTTTATGGTTTCGTCACCTTCCAGGTGTTGGCTAGCACAGCTCGATTCGAAGTCCTAATGGACATTCCAGGTCAGGGTGTGTCAAATATGTGCATATTAATAAAAATAAAATTTTAATGTGGATACATTAAATAAAAATACACATTAAATAACAAAAAATAGAATAGAATTTTTTATAAAAATACACTTCAAAGGATTAAATTGAATATGTAATCTAGCACCAGGTTTTTTTTTTTTTTTGTAATTCTAATCTTTTGCAAGGACTAATATTCAAAAACCCCTTAAAACTTCTCGCTGCCAACAATTATTCAAACTCTTTTGATTTGGTTGAAATCAGTATACCTGACAATTTCTTACACGACACGAAAATAATGGGTTGCGGGTCAACATGTTAACTAATCAGATCATTATTGTGTCACCAGTTAAAACTCATTAATAACGGGCCCTTAATGGGTTTATACGTGGGTAACTCATTTCGACCGATTAAGCAAAAAAACAAATATTATTTTGATGATTTTAAAGTTAAACTACTAAAAAACTTACTATAAAATACAATAGGCCTAGTGTATATATTGTATATTAAACATGTATTATTGTATTATTATTCTATTATTATTCTATATAAATTATAAAAAAATTTAAATAATCAGATTGTTTTCCAGTAAGATATGCCACCAACTTTAACAATAAATTCACTATTGTTTGGCTCATAAACGTTGTATTTATTTACTCAAATTTCGCAAGATGTGCCACCAATAATTAGTTTAGAAAAATGCTGGCTACTTCACATACCCCCGATATTTTTTATTTTAACTTGTATAACCTTGTGTCCCAACTCTCCCTCTGTTTCAAAAATCATAGCAATATATACCAAAGTCTGATATTTTGTTCAAAGAAAATACTTGTGGCTTTTGGATGGAATGAGTACCATTTTCGACATCTTGTATTCTTATTAAGGATTTGATTCTTGCATTTGAACATCCGATAAAATCTAACCGTAGGTCCATCCGTGTTAACATACATGTCAATTATCTGAGTTTTCCTATCAAATTCAGTGATTAGGAAATGTGGCCTAATGTTATGTTTTGCTTATGAACAGTCAATTCCGGTAGCTTTTACAACAAGTCTTGGCGGAAAGAAATTGGATAAGGCACTTTTTAAGAGCTGTCAGGGATCCTGGGACGTTAAAGTTGGTAGGACTGGCCATGGAGTGTTTTATTTTGAAGAAGGTTGGAAGGAATTTGTGAAGAATCATAGCCTGGAAGTTGGAGAGTTCCTAGTCTTTGAACACAAAGGCAACATGGACTTTAATGTGAAAGTCTACGAGCTACGAGGTTGTGAGAAAGAGTTTCCTCCTCCCTCCTCCAGAATAATCGTGGGAAAAACTCATCGGAACCAATGTGCTGTTGCAGAAAGTTTTGTACCTTATCTTTCCCTCTAAATTGTGCCTTGACTCATGCTGTTATTTCCCCAAGTTCTAGTTGCAGTACTAGGTAGAGTTGTCATGTTAGGTTGTTTGTTCATGCGGAGTTTTAGTCCATACAGCTAAGATTGATTAGCAACTTAGCATGATGAGGATAATTTTGTTTGGGGAAGTCCTTCTAAGACTCGTGATAGTTAATGAAAGATTATTCCCTCTGAATTCACGAGATCAACTGGCCTTGTTAACAAACCCAACATGTATCTCAGAGATCCGTATGGAAAATTATGGCGCATAGCAACTTGAAACATCAGACCTAAGAGAAAACCTGCTCGTCCTCGTATTTTTATAAAAAGGAAAAGGTGGATTGAGTATAGCCAACGAGAAGGACGGAGATCTCTGCTTATTTGAGTTCATTGAGAAGCCTAAGTCAAGATCAAAACCTGCCATTATGGATGTCAAAATATTCCGCTTTGGATCCTAGTCAAGTGTTAGCTTCGCTGATTGGTTTTGGACTTTGAACAATGTGAACAAGCATGTAGATGCCTAACTATTGTAAGTCAAGTATTAAATTCGGGTTTAGGTTGACGATCGACTACTAGCTAACTTTATCTTGTTGTCTTCGGTTAATCTTATGAGGGGTTATTCTTAAGGATCTTATTATGGTCTGACCACTTTGGTATGAACTATCTCATGTACTTGGCTTATGTCCAGTGCTCTGTTCTAAAAATCCCCTTCTACCGCTACCCAGGCCTAGGCGGTTGGTCACCCCCCGATTAGTCTCTAGGCGTTTGAAAATTAAGAAAGTGTGCCTAGACTTCCTTAGGTGTCTGACTAACTTGCCTAAACCTGCCTAGGCACCTGCTTAGGTCATAAATCTCACTTAGACAAAAAAATCAATAATTTTCATTTTGCATTTTAATTCGTCAATAAAATGTAAAGACTTGTTAAATACTTAGATGAACACTCACTATATGTTTGTTACCCATGTTTCCATAAGTTCTAGTACTTTATAATTTGTATGTCATTTTATTTTGCAATCATGTATCACAATACAATTATGTATTGTTTAAGTATAAATAGGCATTTATTTACACAATATATAATAAATTTACTTAAATTGCCTAGTCCGCCTAAGGCTCCGCCTAACCGCCTAGACGCTAGGCCTCAACCCGCCACCCGACTAGCGTCTAGCATTTTTTAGAACCTTGATCCAGTGTCAGTGTGAGATGTCAGTTCGACGAACTTTCTCGTATACTAACCCGAAAACTCCCCTTTCTCTCCCCCAGAAATCGAAACATAGCTACTTTTATCTCATCGTGACGCAAAAACAATTTCATTTTAATGGTGTCCATTTTGTACATCAATGTTTCTTACCGGTCCTTTGTACCATTTCCTTGCATCCAAAACCCACCAAAGCATTACCAGAGCCAAAGCAGCACCAAGAGCTATTGGTGCATAGTTTAATGTTCTCAATCTAAGAGGGTAAGAAGTTGGCAAAAGAAATATTGAGCATGTATAGCATATCCAAAGGACGGCCACAAAGCAAACTGGCCTTCTTGCTCTCCCCAAATAAAATGGTCCCGGTTTGAAGCTCTCTTCAGCCATCACCAGCCTTGCGAAAATTGGCACAGCGTAGCTGCCCACCCAACCAACTGTACTGACAGAAAGAATGGCGGTGAACACCACGTCAAGTTTCAGGATCGGTAATCCCAGCAGCAAAGTGATTGTTGTGCAAAGCCACACCGCGTTTATTGGAACCTTGCTCTTTGGATGCACTTTCCTCCAGATTGGCGAAAATGGGATGCATTTATCTCTTGATACAGCGTAAACCTTGGAGTGAAAAAACAAAGTTAACTTGAAGCTTCAGGATATAGAAATGTAGGATTAAGAGTTTCGGATTTTCTTACTGCTCTGGCGGCCATTGTGGTTACAGATAGTCCACAGAAGAAGAAGGAACCCCATATGATAATCATGAAAAGAACAGCTCCAGTTGAACTATGAAACCTCCCATAGAATGCATCATATATTATCTGTGCTGGTACAAGTGCACCACCAGTCTCATTGTCCTCCCTGTATAAATACTCCAAGTCCTGCATTAAAAATTTAACCTTAATAAGCATCCAATAGTTATAGGAGACGATTTTTACACACATTTTTTAGCTTCTCATGCTCCCTTCTTTATTTCTAGCTGTCAGATTAAATAAATCAAGCGAAAGAACAAGATTAAACAGGATAGTGTGAGAAATTTAAAAAGTGTGCTTATCATTTCCCTTCAATTATAACGCCGTTAGCTTGACCAAAACACAGCACTAGTAATTTTCAACAGCGAGCATGTAAGAAATAGTAAAATATTCAGCTTAAAGTGCATATAATAATTAAAATAGGCGTGCGAAAACCGCGTACCTTGATGCTGAAAGTGAGAGCCAAGTAATAAGCCCAACCAAATACTGATACAAGGGCAATACTAGAGAGAATGGCAATAGGACCAGTCCTATCTGCACCTTTTGTCTCCTCAGTGAGATGAGCGGCTGCATCATAACCATATAAACAGTAGTTGCTAAGAAGCACAGATAAAATCACCGCATAAGGTATGCTGGATACTCCAGTTGTCTTTGGAGATGTTTCGAAATGTGTGAAGACGTAGGAAGCTGTCTGTGTTGGCTGTGCCACCAGAGGTAGCATTATGATTATTAACAATCCACCAATTAACTGTATAATTTCAGTTAGGTTAATTAGTATTTGTTTAACCAGATTAGTAGATATATGAATAATATATGAGACAAATGCAATAGAGTGTAACACTGTATAGAAAATGAGAGCACATCATAAATTTTTGGTCTAAAAATACTAAACAAGTCTTAAGTGATGATGAAAGCGTTGAGCCTGGTAGTATAGACTTATAATTAAGTATATAGGAAGATAAGTCAAGTGGGTAAGATATTCATTATCACCTTTTATTGAGGTCAAATTAAGCATGTCCTAAAACCTCAGGTTAGTAGAGCATGCCCCACACGCAACATGCAGATAACAAATCACCTTGTGAAAGTACAAAAGTGGCAACCAAAGCCAAGGGTTTCAAGATCTATTACGTCTATATAATTCGTTTCGGTGTGCCAAGTTAGTGCGTATGAGGAATGCGAGTAAATATATAAATGTGTTAAGGGTTGAATTTTTAATATGATTGTGGTCACGTCTAGCTCTAAGGGATGTATGTGTCTTGATACTAAATTATTTATGACAATCTTATTATCTGGCTTAATTTAAATGAGAGGACTTAGTACTACATCTAATGCCTCTTTACTTGTAAATGAGATGTTTTAGATTTGATTCTTGTCAAAGTTAATTTAATCCACATTCTTGTGCACGGACTTCTTTCAAATTTGTAGCGAGGCCGGTGATGCAATAGTTTCAGGCAGCGTTTCTGCAGAGTACGAACTCGCCGTACGACCTCCAGCCAATGGCATTTATGGATTCGCCACCCCTTTTCTGCCACCCACTGCTGCGTTGGCCACCTCCTATGTACTGTCCCTTCCACCTATATATTCAACACTATTCTCCTCCTCCGCCGCAGCTCGTAAACCAAAAAAACCCTAACTTTTCACCTCCCCTCTAAATTTCTCCTCTTTTCTTCACATTTCTTCTATCTGCACATGGCAGATTGGTCGAGATTCATGGCCAGGTCACCTCCTTTTCCCAGAAAGTTTTTCAAGCCTTTGACGCCTGGCTTCCAAAATGGAATGGTATGCTTCTTCCTCTCCCCTTCTCTCTCTATGTCTCTCTCTACACACTCACACTCACTCGCATATTTCTGAGTTATTTTGAAATGTATTTTTTGAGAGCACATACCACTTTATTTGGGGTACATAATGAACATATACGTTACGCAGGGGTCATTTTAATCTTGTGTTTGTCTTTCCAATTTTATAGGATGTACCCGAAAGCACATGGTTTTTCATTTTCTATCTGTCTGGAGATTTCTTTTCAAGAAAGCAATATTTTTGAGAAATAAAAAAGCAAGACCTTTAAAGGAAGATGGGCAATGTAGTACCTAATCTGAGCTGAAACTTTGATATTTGTAAGCCACATGAACATCTGAATGATTTTGCAGGGTTTGCAACACATTTTCGTTAATTCTTGATTAACTTCACATACTCTGCTTTAGAAAAAGAGACTTCAGTACCCGACAGTTTTCGAAAAGGATATTTGTTCTAAGAAAATACTTGTAGTTTTGGGATGGTGCATACCATTTTCGACTGCTTACTTAACGATTTGATTCTTGCATTTGGACATCCAATAAAATCTAACTGTAGGTGTATACATGCTAAACATACATGTAAATTTTTCTGAGTTTTCCGGTTAAATTGAGTGATTAGGAAATGTGGGCTGATTTTTTGTAATGCATATGAACAGGCAATTCCAATAGCCTTTACTAGAAGCCTTGGCGAAAAGAAATTGGATAAAGCACTTATTAAGAGCTGTCAGGGATCCTGGGATGTTCAAGTTCGTAGGACTTGCGATGGAGTGTTTTGTTTTAAACAAGGTTGGAAGGAAGTTGTGAAGAATCATAGCCTGGAAGTTGGAGAGTTCCTAGTCTTTGAACACAAAGGCAACATGGTCTTTAATGTGAAAGTCTATGAGCCACTAGGTTGTGAGAAAATGTTTCCTCCTCCCTCCTTCAGGTTAATAATGGCAAAAACTCATTGGAACGTCAAATGTCCTAGCGCGGTAAGTTTTCTATCTTCTCTTTCTCCATATCAAGTCTTCTTGACTCATGCTGTTATGTCCGCAATTTTCTGAAGTTGTTTTCACAGTATTCATATTGGGCATACTCTAGACTCCGAAGTTTTAGTTTCAGTCCTAGTCAGAGTTGTCATATTAGACTGCTTGTTCAGGTTAAGTTGCAATCCTTACAACTAAACATTGGTTAGCAACTTAGCATGTTGAAGATATTTTGTTTAGGGGAAAATCCGTCTGACTTGTGATTGTTTATGACAGACAATCCCCCTTGACTTCGCAAGATCAACTGGCATTCTTGACAAATCCTGCATGCGTGTTAAAGATCCGTTTGGAAAATTATGGCCAATGGACATAGGAATTGTGAAAGATAAAGAGAAAATTGAAGCTGCTTGGAGTCGTCGTACATATTTAAAAAGTAAAGGGTGGATTGAGTTTTACAAAGCCAACAAACTGAAGGACGCAGATGTTTGCATCTTTGAGCTCATTCAGGTGCCAAAGTCAAGATCAAAACCCGTCATTATGAATGTCAAGATATTCCGCTTTGGATCGTAGGCAGTTCCAAGTCAAATTGTTAGCTTCATTGATTGTTTTTAGATTTTGAACAATGTGAACTAACATTTAGATGCCCCTAGTACTGTAAGTTGTATTAGATTTGGGTTAAGGTATCAAATTGATAACTAGCTACTTTTATCTTGATGTTGCAATGGAATCTTTTATGCAAAAACAAAGGAGTTGGAAGGGCTCACCTGCCACCATATCGAAATTATGTTGAGAAATGCTATCACTTGTAATGCAAATGTATTGAGCACTGCCCATATGATGGTCAGACCGATATACATGCACAGGAATACACCCCTCGATGCAAAATAGCCTCCGCCCTTGTTCGTCCCTGTGGCTAAAAGAATGACCATCTGCAACGCTTGTGATGCGGAATATGCCTAAAGGGGAAAGAAAATAAAAGGCATTCAAGAAAACATGTTATTCTCTTTGATTCAAAGTCACTTGATGCAGAGGAAGTGGCTATACCTGAGCACCTATTGCGGAAACCAGACCGATGATTTCAAGCCAAGCGCAGCACCACGACGCGAATGGCCCCCACATGGGTCCGGCCAGATGAGCAGCCCAAAAATAAAGAGAACCTGTGGTCTGATCAATGTTTAAAGCAACCAAGATCATCTCAGATGTTGCTTACAAGTCCATAGGAAAAAGAAAGGGAAAAACAGCACCGCGTACCGGAAAAGAGGAGCATATCTCAGCCATGGCAATTCCGACAAACCATGTGAAGAATGTGACAACAATCCAACCCCATATTAGGGGTGCCGGACCAGCATAGCGCAGACTTTGGCCGTAGAGAGGCGTACCAGTGAACACCGACATGCACGAAAATGTTATTGCCATCGTCTTGAACAATGACTGTAGAAAACCAAGTGAAAAACATTAGATTTCAACCTCTCTCAACATGGTTGCAAGAAAGTTTATGAACATGAAAGAAGCTAACACCCAGCTACTGCTAGAAAGAGAACAACAAATAGAGAGAGAGAGAGAGAGAGAGAGAGAGAGAGAGAGAGAGAGAACCATTTCCCTTCTGAGTTCTTGCTTGTATCCAAGCTCATTGAGCCGCTTTTCGCCGGAATCCATTTCCAAAGCTTGGTGATTCATTATGGTTTCCGGCGAAAAGTAAGTTTGAACGTAAGATTAAGAATTTCCAAAGTCAAAGGAAATCTGAGAATCAGGAACCTATATGATTCTCTTATGGCATTCTTTGCACGTCTTTATATTTTAACTCCAAGTAAAAGAGAAGAAGGGAAAGCAGATGGAAAGTTTGAAATTTCTATGTTCCAAATAATGACAAAAAACTTCTAAGTTTGAATATTGATAAAAATAAAATATAAAGATATTGACATCCTTTTCGTCCCGCTGGTACAATAATTAGTATTTCTTGACCAACTAAAATTCAAACAAGTAAAACACAAGAGAGGGTCAAATTTAAGCAGGCCAGTTTGCTCGGTGGCCTTCCTGTTGATATGCTATGCGCCAATAACTCCCATTGATGTTTTGACACAATTACATTGTTTTTGTGGGTTTTGGATGCAAGGAAATGATTCAAAAGACGTGTCCGAAATATCGATGTATAAAACCATTAGAATATATGTTCATTCAAGAGAAAATCTATTAGTTGATGTAACAATAGTAATAAGTACACATCAACTACCACATCACGGAAAATTAAATCAATGAAACAACCTTTAGAAATTCAATTGCCACTAAGATTTGGTGAGTGTGTGGTCGTATTTGGTTCAACAATTATGGATTGGACTCAGATGTTGGACTGTCTCTAGATGAGAAATGGACCAACTGTATCGAGTCCGGGTCACAAACGTTTTTTTTTATTTTTTTTTTTATAACGATGTATTCTATTTTAATGGGAGTGAAGATTTGAATTAAACCTTGCAATGAGACAAGAACCAAATTAAGTGCAAATGGGTCAAAGCGCAGCTCGGTATGTCATTATCGTTTCGCATCCCGTTAAGTATTTTATCTCATCCTTGACTTTATACCCACGATTTTTCCACTAATATATTACCCGCCCATTAGAAAAGGTAAAAAAATATATTTTCTTTAACTAGTAGTATATGGACTATTTAGACGAATTAACATGTCAAAATCATAATAATAGTTAATTACATTTACAATACATGAACATACAAGTTTTGTTTTTTTGTTTTTTTTTTTTTTTGAGTAAATCAATATTTTTACACTAAAGGGAGGGGGAGTTAGGCTAACCATACAATGAGCAACCTAATTTGGTATCGGATTTATCATCCACGAGATTCGAACATAAGACCTGTCGCTTCCAAGTGAAGAGGAATACTACCAGACCGTAGTACTGAGTAGCACATAAACATAAAAGTTAAACTAATAGAATTAAATAGATATGTCACCCAAAATTGGTCTCAAAACAAATTGAACAGGTCATAGTCCTCTACTTACGCTAAGATTGATCACAAAACAAATTGAATAGTTCATAGTCCTCTACTCACACTACGATTGGTCACAAAACAAATTGAATAGTTTGTAATCGTCTACTAACACTCGGTCGCAAGAATATATAATTGATAGATTTCAAACAAAGACGATTCTTGGTGGGATTACAATAATCCTCACCCTATTTCTTTTGATCTGAATGATTCTAAGATATTGTATTTTGTTATGCTATAATACAATAATAATGCTAGAGAGATCAAAATTGTAAACCAAATTTGCAAACTAAATGATGCGTCACCAATATGAAATAAGCACGTTAATCAACGATTAAGTGGCAATCAATGATCAACAACCACATCATTTGATTTACAAAATTTAGTGTCTGTAGCATGAGTACGTGCACAATGTGCTAGTAGTGTAACGATGGCGATGCTATAATAAAGACCATTCAAAAAAGAGGATTCATGAACTTCACAATCTCATCTAATTGATTCCAACTTTTTTTTTTGTCAAACAATAAATTTTGTTAGATTAAATGTTAAATTAGTGATAAGTCAATTTCATATTATAAATTTTACCCTATTCTTAGTATGTTTTGGTAATTATTATCGTAGAATTTTGATATTTTGATTTATATTTTCAATATAGGACATCTGACTTCCTCTGGAGCAAAACATGACCAAACAGACGAATTTTGGAGTGATTCAAATTGGAGGACGTTTGTGTGTCTCTTGGCGTATTCTTGTCAAAATTTGGGATTTCTACCAAGCGATTATTTTCTGGCGATAGAATAAAAGAGTAGTGCGTAATGTTGGAAAATGACGCTTCTGGGCTTAAATTGTGTTTTTGGAGCCCAAGATGACCTCTGATGGATTTGTGTCCCTTTGGAAAAGTGTTTAGAATATTCCAAACCATCAATCCAACTCTATTAGGCTGGGTTTGGAGCAGTTTAAGGGTCCAAAATGTGGTTGTTCAGATTTGAGGCAAATTTTACCATTTAATTTAGGGTTATGTTTCCTATTTATTTTAGTTTTTAGTTTCCTAGTTGGATTGGAAGACATTTTATTAGGAGGATTTAATTTCTGATAGGTTAAATTAAGCTTGGCCGGCTTTACTCTTGAATGACACACCCCGTCCCGAAGGAGGGTATGCTGGCCGTCACGTGAGAGTGACGTAACCATTTACACAGTTCGGAAGCTTAAACAAAAAATACAATTACTATGATGAAACACCCGAGGGTGAGTTCTACATTTGTGAATTATGTCATAACACCGCTGGATTCCTCGTGGCCACCAAAGCTCTGCTATCTAGAACCTGGAGGGGAGCAAAACAAAATTGAGTGGGTCAATAAAACAAAGTTTTTTTGAAAACATTTCATTTAAAACATTTCTAACCCCTCCCTGTAAAACCTGTATACTTTCCCAGAAAAATAGTATATAAACGTATATATACATATATCATCAAAACTCCGCTCACCATCTATCAACATAACATCTCAGAAAGAATATGCCATGCCATGCCAAAATATAATATGAATGCATCAATATAACTCAGGTGAAATAATAAATCAACCGGAGACCCTACAGTGGTCCTGTACGGTTGATTCTATAGCTCACTATCCCATCCAGCCGGAGTCACCAACTGTGACCTGTACGGCCCTGCCGGAGTCACCAACTGTGACCTGTACGGCACTACACTGCACATAAGTCGGAACTACCTGTAGTAGTCTGTACGACTAAGATGGTGAAATAATAAGCTCTAGTGCTTCTCTCATCAATCATCTGTGCACATAATCTAAGGTCACCTACCAGTCGGAACCCCTCTAATGGTCTGTACGACTGGCATGTCGGAACCACCTCTAGTGGTCTGTACGACATCCACCTACTTGGATCCAAGGCGAGCGTGCGGTGTGGTGAATAATATAAGCACTAACACCTAGGGTGCAGGTTATGAGCTTCCAATGCAATTCACATAAAATAAATCGTATGAATAATGTAAAAACTCACATGTGCGTCAACAGCGTCAATTCACATATATATGCATCAATTATCAATTCAAATATCTTATCGATTGCATGCATGACATTTTAAAACATATTTTCATATAATTGCATTTTCTGGGAAAAACAGTAGTATATAGGTAATACGAAAACAAAACTGCCCACTCACTCAAAACTGCCCACTCACCTAGAGTTCGCCCAACAACTCCATAGCACCACACATCAAGGCGTCATGATGATCAGCGCCTAGAACAATAATCAAATCCAACCTCAGAATTCATATCGATAGAATATATAACTTATATAAGACATGCCACTACGTAGTTCGATCCGGAAGATCTGCAACTCAAATTTCAAATCCATAACTTCCAGAGGTCCAGAATATACCTCTAGGACATCATCCTAAAATTTCATTACCATCCAACGGTCGGATCTCCGTCAATTTCGAAAATCAAGTGACGGTTAACATTCTATTTTATGAACTTACAACTCCAATTCTGAAAGATCCGTAAATTTAATTCCTGATCCGTAAGTTCCTATAATCCTCAAATATTACGTATTACAACGTATTAAAGTTTGGTGACGATCCAACGGTCGGATCGTCAATTCACAGTTTCACCTAACCACGAATCGAAACGAACTTAGGTTCAATTACTCAATTTACGTCCATCAATTATTAAAACTGAACCTAGAACTTTAAACACATGATAAGAATGACATTGGCGGCCATTGGCCGCGCGCCGCAGCACGGGCCGTCGCGGGTGGCGGTAGGCTGCCTCGACTCGCCGGAAAATCCAACCATTTCAAAAAATTCTCAAAAAATACAGAATTGAAGATCTCAATGAGTAGAGAAAACTTTATACCTGTGACCAAGGCCAATTTGGCCTAGAAACACTTCAATTTCATCAAACCCGTACGAAACCCTATATGTGGTGCTCTTCAATTTGTCCTCAATTCAACTCCGCTGCTCCAACCAACAATTGGGCATTGTTCTAGGCCTCAAGGGAAGTGTATGTGTAGTGCCAATTGGAATAAAATGTTTCAAAATTAGGAGAATCGACGTAAGACCCGCCGGAGTCACCATCGCCAAATGTCGCGGATTTAGCCCAATTCCTGTCGAGTCTTGAGAGAATGATGAAGGAGAAGAGATGTGGTGATGCTTGCAGGTGGAGATGGGACGAAAATCGCCTGAAAAACGGCTCAGAACTGCCGGAATTCCGCTGGGTCAGCGGGTTGGGTGTGCGTGGGTCGCCAGGATCCGGCCGATCCTCTTCTTTCCTTTCTTCCTCCTTTCCCTCCTGTTCTTTTCCCTGATTCGTCACTCAACTTTCTCTCTCTCCTCCCCATTCGGCCTCATCTCCTTCCGTCCATTTTCATAAAAGAAATTCTAGATTTTACTAAAATTATAATTCCTTAAAATCCCAAATTTCAAACGTTAATAACTTTTTCGATAAAACTCCAAATCACGAACCGACTACGCCCACGCATCCGTAGTGATGAATACTACAAGGATATGTCAAGAAAACAAAATCTTAGATGGCACGACACAACGATTAACCTCAAATAATGCGTGTGCCCAAAAAGGGCATTTTTGTAAAATCCTTTATTAAAACTTTAAAAATTCTTAAAATTAGGGACGGGCTGTCACAATCTACCCACCTTAAAAAAAATTTCGTCCTCGAAATTTATACAATCTTTACAATCCATCGATATCCATAAAACAACTGGAACACATCCCTCTCATTTGATCTTTTGTCCCAAGTAGTTTCTTCTACTGAATGATT